GTGGGTGGGGGGGGGGGGGGGGGAGGGTAGAGGGGCACATTGAGGAACCTGGCCTTGGGGCAGCAGAGAGAGTAAATCCAACCCTGACCATGTGCATTAAAATGTAGTCAGTCCCCTTACACCCTTTGATGCCCTGGCAGCCTGCACTCTTCTGGGTGGCTTTCCACAAGAGTTTGGAGTGTCGAAGAACAAATTCAGTCAAAAGAACATTTGTGAGGTCAGTTATTGATGTTGGAAGACCTTATGTGCCATCAGCATTCCAAATAATCCCAAAAATGTTCAGTAGGGTCCGTGCAGGACACTCGAGTTCCTCCACACCAAACTGGTCACACCATGTCTTTATGGAGCTGGCTTAGTATGGAGAGGACAGTCATGGTGCAACCAACAGAAAAGGGTCTTCACCAAACTGCTACCACAAGACTAGAAGCACACAATTGTCTACAATGTCTATGCATGCTGTAGCATTAACTGTTACCTTCACTGGAGACACCTGAACAAACTTTTTGGAGGGGGGTCCACATACGTTTGGCCATATAGACAAGTGTTATAGCCAAGAAATCATGAAACCTAATACTATTGCTAATCTTATGCTTTATTGTTTTTTCTAGACATGAGTGATAAAGTATTCCTCTTCCCAACACCAAGTAATTCAGCTCATGTAATACTAAAACCTGAGATGAGAAAGTCACTACAAAAGTTCAGCGTGTGTCTTCGATCTAATACGGAGCTTACACGGGGATATGGTCTCTTCTCACTGGCAGTGTCTGGCGGTGACAACTCCTTCCTTATTTTCCCACAACCATCAAATGTCTACAGTATGACCGTACTCCAGGAAGAAATACTTCTCAAGACAGACCATGTGTCACTGGCCTGGAAACACATCTGTGCGACCTGGGACTCCACCACTGGGGAATTCCAGCTTTGGGTCAATGGGAAGCTTTACCCAAAAAGAGTTTTAAAGAAAGGGTTTACTATCCAAGCCCAAACAAGTATAGTTTTGGGGCAGGACCAAGACTCGTTTGGAGGAGCTTTTGATATTAATCAGTCGTTTGTTGGTGAAATTAGTGATGTCCATATGTGGGATTATGTTTTGACACCAGAAGAAATAGAGGGAGTTATGTCTGGGCATGTCAAAGGAAATCACATTAACTGGAATTCTCTTAACTATGAAATTAAAGGGAATGTTCTGATTCGACCCAAGCCCCAATGTATGTCTTGGATGCTTAGCAGCTCAACACATGAAGAATTCTTACTGGGTTAGTAGTCTTTGCAGTTTACACAGAGAGCATACATGGTAGTAATAGGAAAGTCTAGCACTACCTGCATGCTTTATGATACCATTTGTATAAATTATTATTCCAGACATTCCTGCCCTGAAGTGTATCTACACCAGGGGCGTCACAAGGGGGTGCAGGGGGGGGTGTGGCCCGCATCCAGGTGACATCATTGGAGGGGTGACACCAAAATGATTGACAGTCATTTTGGTGTCACCCTTCTCAGAAAAGTCGGACACTCAGTCAAGGACCGAGAGTCCGATATTTGCTTGAGAGAGGAGGGGACCGGGTGGCATAACTTATACAGCTGGGTGACGTCCCCTCCTCTCTCTGCTGGCGTCTATCACCAAGATGGCCGCCGTAAGGTAACGGTGGTACTGCGTGTGATGTCATCACGCGCATGTGCGATGGCGTCATCACGTGCATATGCGATGACGTCACTGCAGGGTGTCACCCGCTACCCGTACCGGGTGTCGCCCCGCCTCGGGACGCCTCTGTTTTAAACCCAACAACAAAAATTTCACATATTGCAGCTCACCAGTCCTTAGACATGGCGGCTGCGTTCGTTTTCTTTTTCTCCTTTCACCTAGTGACTCTGCCAATGTAACTAGGGTTGTAGGGGGACAACGCTCACTCCTCCACCCTATCTGAGGAGCATTGTCACCCCCCCTGACTTTGGTCACCTGTTGGTGATCTGTTGGTATTCTTCTTCACAACTAGCAATATTTCATATTTATTTGATTAAAAGGAAGAAAAACAATCCAATATTAGTCCCAAATATAATAAAGAAAACGTTTTTAAAAATATATATATTCCCTTTAAAAGCATCATCTTGGTGCTGACTGCTGACAGGTATAATTTTAGAATATACAAAGTATGAGGACCAAACGTTCTTCTTGAGGTAATAATGAATTGAAGGTTACTATTTTGGATGTTCAGCTATCATTGGAATGAAATCCTAATGGCTCCCTATGATGTATACTTTAAGTTTCTGTCCTTAGATATCTTTGTAGTACCTCTGAAAATGAAAGTCTGCACTTTTCTTACTGGTTTAGTTCAAAATCAATAAATAATTGCATGCAAGCTATGGTTCTTAAAGTGTCTTTTTTTCTGAGATTGAGTGTTTCTTTCTAATATTAAATTTTTAAAATGTACATAGCATGTACTATATATGGCCATAAGTTTATGAACGCCTGACCATCGCACATACAAAAGGCCAAACCTATGTGGACCACGCCTGCCAAATTAGTGACTTCATGTGTTCCCAGTGAAGGATTCTGTTCATCCTCTAGACTTGTGCGCCGTCAAAAAATGTGTTCCGTTTCCTTGCCTTCCGTTTCGTAATATCCATTATTTCGTAATTCGTATCCGAAACTCAATTCGGATTCGTACGAAATACGGATTTTCGTTAGTTTCGGCACATTTTCCTAACTTTACGAACATTCATTATGATGAAGTTAAAAAGCAAAAATACCTTTGTTAATATTGGAGTCGATGTGGTCGTTGTTTTTGTATCCGAAATACGAATTCCGTTAACGGATTCCGGATCCGAATTTCGTATTTCGGACTTAAAAAAAAACTACCATCAACTCCAATATAAATGTACTTTGCTTTTTAACTTCAATATAACGAATGTTCGTAACGGAACGAAAATATGTCAACGGAATTTCGTATTTCCTGCCTGTGTATTGTAATGCAACCCTCAGCAGAAGCGGATCCGTATTTCGGATGAAAAAAAAAATCTTATCATGTTGTTCAACCTCATTTACAGGGGTAATATTAGTTCCCGTTTCAAAGAAATTCAGATCCGAAATTCGTTAACGGAATTTCGTATTTTGGATATAATTCGGAAAGTGCAATTCGGATTTCGTATGCTTACGAATCTACGAATTTCAGGAAAATTCGTACGAATTTCGATTCGTAACGAAACGAATCGCACATGTCTATCATCCTCCATCATATGACATTGTAGACAATTGTGCTCTTCCAACCTTGTGGTAACAATTTGGTGAAGACCCTTTTCTGTCCCACCATGACTGTGCTCAAAGCCACCTTTATAAACACATGGTTTGACCTGTTTGGTGTGGAGGAACTCGAGTGTCCTGCACAGAACCCTGACCTGGCCGCCAAAATGCTTTTTTAGATGGTTTACTAGTCACATGACTAATATGTTTACTCCGTTTCACAAAGCACCGAGGGATGCGGGGGGGTCTGGAACATGGGAGGACCAAAAGAGAGGGTTGTGTATAACTGCCTTGGATAACATCTGTCAGTCATTACTACTGGCTGCCGCTCACATGCATGCCAGGCTGTAAAGCTACAGGATAGTTTCACACCTAGGCGATTCAGATGCCGCGCTGTTTTCGTGAGGTTTTCGCGTGTTTTCGATTGCATGACTGTTCATTAAGCGGTTGTCGTGTGTTTTTCATAGAGATGTCTATGGGACCCAAACCGTGCAACAACCGCCCGGAAATAGCTCATTCACCTTGTTGTGCGAAAGGCAATTTCGGTTGCGCGAGAAACCGCAAAGGTGTGAGCAGCCTCCATTGACCTTAATGTCAAACCGCGCGATAAATCGCCTAGGTGTGCACCGGCCCTTACGAGATGCAGGGTTGACAATGCCAGAGAAAAGAGCTGCTACTTCCTTGTTGTGGATTGCAATGCATAACAAGGAAGTAGGTGGAACTGGCAGGATCAACAAGTTTATTACCGGTAAGGAAAAGGGGTTATTAAAACAAATATTATGATGTAAAAGACTCTGAGTGATCCTCTGCTCATACTTGTAGGGTTAACACATGAAACGCAAAATAAAATGCATATTCCTTATTGCCGCATTAAATTAATCCTCCAGAAACTGATTAGTAACTGCTTTGTTTTTCAATGCAAATATTTAATGAAATGCTCTGGGATGGATGGTAATTGCTCCCAGGCTGAAGCGACATGTTATAAAAAGGCTCTGGATTCCAATCATCAGATCCCCAACGTCAGACAGGTGTGATTTCTAGAGAGGTGAGGACGTGGCAAACGGTAATGCAGACACACAGTTTATTGTTCTGTTTTGAAACAAAATGAGGACCATGTCTATTACAATACAGAATAGTTTTATCAGCAATGCAATGTTTCTCTGATACAAAGTGTCTCTCTGATATTAATTACAATACAGAATAGCTTTATCTCCAGTGCCAATTTCAAAATTGGTATTAAAGGGAAACTTTAAATTTAAAAGGGGGCCTTCTCCACTGACCACCGGTCTCAGGGAGCACCTCTCCCACTGACCACTAATCTCAGAAAGTATCTCTTCCAATGACCACCAGTCTCAGGGAGCACTTCTTCCAATGACCACCAGTATCAGGGAGCACCTCTTCCAGTGACCACCAGTCTCAGGGAGCACTTCTTCCAATGACCACCAGTCTCAGGGAGCACCTCTCCCACTGACCACCAGTCTCAGGGAGCACCTCTTCCAGTGACCATCAGTCTCAGGGAGCACCTCTTCCAATGACCACCAGTCTCAGGGAGCACCTGAAATCCATGTTTAATTTCAAAATTATAAAAAGAGAAGTCAATGGATATCAAGAATGAGACACGAGTGACCATGTTTGAGTTTTCTGGACTAACTGATGATGAAAATCTTGTCCCATTTGTCTTCATGTTCATTTTACTGGTCTATATGGTGACCATAGTAGGAAATGTTGGGATGATAGCCCTTGTCTGTGTCTTCTCCAGCCTTCACACTCCGATGTATTACTTTCTGAGTAGCCTCTCTTTGGTGGATATCTTCTACTCCTCAGTTATCACTCCAAACATGTTGTCTCACTTCCTTTCCCCTAAGAAGTCAATTTCATTTCTTGGTTGTGCTGTCCAATATTACTTGTTCTGTGCACTGGGGTGCAATGAGGCTGTTCTCCTCTCCACCATGTCCTATGATCGCTATGTGGCCATCTGCCACCCTCTCCACTACACCTTAATAATGACCAAGAAGAAATGTTTTTGTTTGGTTCTTTATTCCTACTCCGTTAGTTTCTTGCAGTCAATTGTGCAGACCAGTTGTACGTTCAGTCTTCCATTCTGTGGACCGAACCTTATTGACCATTTCTTCTGTGACATCGCACCATTGTTCAAACTGTCCTGTGCTAATAACCTCCATTGTGATATGGTAACAGGTATTCTTGTAGCAGCCTATGGAATATATATATTGATGACAATCTTTCTGTCGTACACTTTCATATTTCTCTCAATATTTAGGATGACATCTACTAAGGGGAGGCAGAAGGCCTTCAGTACATGTTCCGCACATATTATTTGTGTCTCTACCTTCGTTACAGCAATCTTCTTCACATATCTGCGCCCTCATTCTGGAGCCTTTGAGATACAAGACAAGGTGGCTTCTCTTTTCTATACAGCAGTGACCCCGATGCTGAATCCTCTTATCTACAGCCTGAGGAACCAAGAGGTGAAGCGGCTCCTTGTCCAAGCAATGCGAAAACATTTTTGATGTAGATTTAATACACCTCTTCTGTGAATTGCCTGTGATACTCTCTATAAATTACATACACCAATTAGAACATAAAATCTGCTAAAATATCTATAAAACCAACAACTACATAACTATAGCAATCCTACAGAGGGCCCTTGAACCTTGGTCAATGTATTATATAATACCTTCCCTGCTGGTTGCACTGTTACATTGGGCAACTATATATCACAAATGTAAAACTATTGTCTGATAATAAAACTGGACATATCTACTTAAAGGAGAACTATGGGGTTAAGGCTTTTCCCCATAGTTCTCCTTAGGGTAACGGGAGGACACAAACTAGCGTCCTCCCGTCACCCTAAGCTCAGTATACCGCGAGCTGCAGCTTGCGGTATACTGAGACGCCGCAGCCGTAGCGGATCCCGACATCGATGTCGAGATCCGCCCAGCTGCGTGAGTGACAGCTGGCTCTGCCTATCTAGAGGCAGAGCCAGCTGTACTCGCACCCTCCCC